AGGGCTACCTTGCTATTTGGAAATTCTAAATTTATCAGACTTGAACATTCTGATTCTACAAAAAACCACCCTGCTTGGAACAGCTTATATCCTCTGACGTTATCTTAACAGTTCCTAGGTCCTGGGTTAGGACTCGAGCTTCTTTCTTTCTTAATACTTGCAAGTGCATTTAAGGATTTCCAGAATATGCCGCCTATTATTTAGATGCTGAGAAAGCTAGTTCTTCTCGCTTATCAAAAGAAATGGCCTTCGCCCGGAGCTCTAAAGTTAGAAAAAGAGGCCTATACCGCCATGCTAAAACACTAATATACACTTTTTAAAAGGCCTTAAAATTCCAGGTAACAAATGAAAATGATCTCAGCTTCCTGCTATTTTATTTCTAAAGGAGGAAGTATGTTCTGACTGTTCCTTTTGCTTTACTTTGGGCATAATTGTTTTAAGAATATATTCTGTTTTTCCAAGTAACCCAGAGAAGCATCCACAGTGTTAATATAAAATCAATCAATCAATCACATTGAGATAATTGTTTTTTGAAATGGGATACAGATTCTCATAATGTAAATCGCTATTTCTTTTGCAGAAAGAGATCCCACCCTTGAAATCCGATATAGGCACAAAAAGTCCAAGGAGAAGGACCGGGAAGGGGACCGGGAACGTGCTGAAAAAGATGAGATGCGGGCGAAAGCCCAAGAACTGGCACTGGAGCAGAGCCGCAACGCCAAAGTAAGGAGTGCAATGGAGATTACATCATCTTACAGGGCCTGGCATTCTAACTCCAGAACGTTGACATTGATTTGAACTGTTGGGTTCTCGGCTAGTATATTGAAGCAACTGCCTTTCCCTAACAGTTGTGCCCAGGCTAGTTTTTGTCATTTTACTAGTTTTACATAGCCACAAGATCGAGATTTAATGTAGTCAAATAGGTAAATACCAAACTTAGTTTCTAGCTACTTGGGGACCCAGCTTTTGTGGCACGGCAGGAAGATGAAAACACTTTTAGAAGATCGTAGGATAGTTACAGATTCCTGAAGCCAAATTGCATTTATAAATTCAAGGCATTCCTTTCAGTCTGTTTAGTTAATATGCTAAATCAGATTCTCTTGAGATTTTCTTTCCCTTTCCTCATTGTTACTGATAAGAATGCTTAACACAAATTATTATTTATTACTTTGATAAAATTATGTATTTTAAATCAGATGTGCCTCCTTAGGGTATATTTAGAGAGCTAGTTTCTGGTAGTGGTTAAGGTCTGTACTAGAAACCAGGATACTTATAAGTTCTAGTTCCCCTTTGGCATAAAAGGGTCACCCTGTCTCAACACAACCCACCTCACAGAGTTCCTGTTAGGAGCAGGAGGAGGAGATATTTTGTATGCTGCCTTTAGTTGTAAAAAATAAAGTGGGGATATAAATCGAATAAATATCAGCTGGGCAACATCAGTTGCTTTTGTTGATATTTAATGTTTAAGCACCTTTGATTTTGCATTTTCCTCCTGTATTCTTTCTACAAATCTGAGATTAACCAAAGGCCCTTTTGAATCATGCACAGTGGAATAGGATTCATGAGACTTTGACTTGTGCAATTTTAGAATTCCCTTTATATTGCCTATATTAGTGCTTTCCATTCCCCCCCCCCTTCTTTTGCTGAAACCACTTCTCAGAAAGTCCTTTTTACCCAATATGGATAAAATACATTAAATCAATTTACATGTCCCTGTTGTGTTTGGGGCAATGTGTTTTTGTTTGTCGTTATCCAAAGAAAAACAACTTTTATCCAATTCTGGATAATTTCCCAGGTTTGGGAAGCACTGGCATATATGGAATTATGTACTAGGAGTTGTTTTATAAAATGCAAAACAGAGAAATGATAAGTCAGCAAAACCATAATAGGAAAGTTTAAAAAGGAGCTTTGAAAAGACTGTTTTCTAATCCTGTCACTTTTGATCTAAATCTAGCAAGGTTTTATCAGAATTGAAAAGCACTACCTGTGTATTAGGAAAAGCCAAATTCTCCCAACTGAACAAGACGTGGTTACTTTTAATTGTGGGATGTATCTCTTCTAGAAGCTGCTAAAGAACTCAGTGGGATTCATACCTGTAGGCTGAGCACGCCCTCACTAAAAGAATACTCATTCATACGGTGTTTCCCCCAAAATAAGACCCAGTCTTTTCTTTTGTACTCCAAAATAAGCACCATGTCTTATTTTCGGGGGACGTCTTACCTGCTTATCTTAGGATCACCACAGCCAGGCCTCCCATGCCCCAACACTTGTTGCACTGTTTCCCAACTTCTCTGTCCGCTTGCGGCCAGATCGTCGTGCTGATGCCTCCCTAGCGCCAGGATGTTGCATTGTGCCAGTGCTGCCACCGACATGCACAACGGCGCAACATGCCAGGTGGCATCCTGCTGAGAGCAGTGGCACTGGTGCAACATGCCATGCGGTGTCTGGCCGCGAGCAGCCACAGAAGAAGTCGGGCACTGGCGCGACAGGTGTCGAGTCATGGGAGGCCCTGCTGCCACTTGCTGCATTGACCATAATAAAACAGCACGAGGAATAGATATAACTGAAAACTGCCAGAATAATCTCTCCCTCTCTATTATGAAGAACTGAGCAACCTGGGATCCTCAGGCACCATTCTTATGACTCTGGAGGCACCTGAGATGATGGTTGTTGAAAACTGGTGGCATATTTTCCCATCACTATGAGTTGGAATACAGTTAACAAATTACGTTAAATGAGTGTTTAACATGCCCTGCAAAAACAAACCTTGATTTGCCAATTAATTTTACCCCTTCCCCCCAGTCCTATTTCCCAACTCACTCATTATTACCATTATTAGCCCAGGACAGCAAAAAAAATATTATGCGTAGCCCTCAATCATGAGAAGGTTGCCTCAAACCCAAGAGATGAAGCTTACTTGTGCGTAAACCTGAACCGGAGGTCCTTGCCTGTGATTAATCTTGAGTCCTTGCTTGTGCATCCTGGCTCTTTTGAGGAACACGGCGACCACGCAGGGCGGGGAGTGTTTGAGACTAAGCCAGGGACAGAGCTTGAATGGGATTCCTCAGGTTCAAAGCCCTTCTCACATCTTTCTTGTTTTCTTCTTTGCAGCAGATCAAGCGCTCGGCCCGCATGTGCGGCGAATGTGAGGCCTGCCGGCGCACGGAGGACTGTGGGCAGTGTGATTTCTGCCGGGACATGAAGAAGTTTGGTGGGCCTAACAAAATCCGTCAGAAATGCCGCCTGAGGCAGTGCCAGGTTCGGGCTCGGGTGAGTGTCGTGGTGGGCAATTCCCTGCCCTTGAGATCATTGCATGTTTTCTCTAGAGGGCACTTTCTGGGCTGCTCATTCCCAAGAGGCAGCCACCTCGAATTTGAAGCTGTTGGTTGTGTGTAGCTCACACGTGATTTTTTTTTTCCCATTCTTTTCTTCCTAGGAGTCCTATAAATATTTTCCAGCTTCGGTAAGTTTCCTTTTTCCCTCCAGTTTTTTTTTTCTTTTCTTTTTTCTTTTTTCGTTTTTTTAAAAAAAAATCTTAATGATCAGGATTAAGATAATAAGTGAGCGCTAAGTTTGGGACTCCTGGGCTTTTTTCCCCCCTAGATAGGGAAGCAGTCTGAAGGTTGGCCTATACATCCAATACAATGAGGTGGCGATAGCCAAAAGTGGTGGACTGAACTATTAAGAGCCAAGGTGGCGCAGTGGTTAAATGCAGCACTGCAGGCTACTGCTAGATCAGCAGTTCAGCGGTTCAAATCTCACCGGCTCAGG